GGCGGCCAGCCTTCCAGGAGAGCCGTGACAAGGCCTGGGCCAGGCGGGGGCGGGAGAGGCGGCAGCGGGCTTGGCCGGCTTTGCCAGCCATGACCTCAGCACCCCGCTCAGGCCTGAGCCACGTCTCCCCTGCGCCTGGAGCAGACACGGCTTGGCCAGGGCTCCGATGGGCACGGTGATGTGATGCGGCCCGAAGGTGTCTGGTCTGTCAGCTGGCCATTTGGCCCCTCTCGCCTGCCTGGGCAGCAGCCGCGCCTGCGGGAGGCAGGGAGGGGGGAGGAGCCAGCGAGGCCAGCTGCCAGGACACGGCCACCGGTCGGGCCAGCACCAGGCCCCACGTCCCTCCCCACGGCGGCTCCTCACGCTGGCACGGGGCAGCGCTTGACAGTTGGCAGAGCCCTCCGGCCTGGGAAGTTCCTGTCGCCATCACACACGGAGGGAAACTGAGGCTCAGGGGCGGGGATCGGGGGATGAGAGCAGAAGAGGGTGGGATTCGGAGTCAGGACCCAGGACCCGGCCGCAGGTTCGCCACATGCCAGGCCCTCTCTGTCTTCGTCTCATTAGTGACTCCTGCCCTCCCCCCTCCTCTCCGTACCCTACGGTCTGGGACTTGGTTTGGGTGCATGATGAGAACAGCCCGGTACTGACCGCACTAACACTTCCCAGGCAGGTGTTCGTTGCCGGGCACTTAGATATCTGTTGCCTCACGAAACCCTCACATCCCTTCAGGGACCAGCGAGCAGGCTCAGGCACGTCTGTAACTTGCTGAGAATCGGGGGGCTTTTAAACTAGGGTCTCCCGTCACAGCCTGGTCAGCAATTCCCAGTGGCTCTCAGACCTCAGCGCCCGGGGACCTTGTCAAATGCAGGTTCCAGGCACCAGTGATTCTGATCCGGGGCCCGGGTGGGGCCCTGGGACCTCCGTCTGCAGGAGAGAGGCCGGGCGACACTGCCTCGGGCTTTCAGGAGCTTGTGCTGCAAGGAGAGGCGGGAGCATGTGGACTCCTCGGTCCCCGCCCGACCCTGTAGCTCTGGCCTCGGGCCACTGACCACCTGGAGGGCCCACAGGGGTCTGAGTGGGGGGTGGCGCCTGGAGGGCTGTGCTGGACCCCATCTGGGCGTCACTGCTGCCGTGAGCACCATCCGACCTGGCCTAGAAACAGGCCCTCAGCCTGACCGGGTCCTGCTGACCACAGGCAGACCCCCAGCTGCCCGGTCCCCTGTCCCCAGGCCCATCTGCCTCTGTGCCGGCCAGGCCAACAGCCACTCTGCAGGGGCCGTCTGGCCTGGCAGGGAGGAGCTGGCAGCCCCAGCCCTGGCCCTGAGGCACCCACCGAGGGGGCAGCGCTGGCCCCCACTTGCTCTGGCCCCTCCGCTGGCAGATGTGGGCCAAGCGTGGTCAGGGTTCCAGGCCATTCCCAGGCTCGCTCCCCCGCGCCCCCTCTTCTGGGGCCTGGGTTTCTGCCTGAAGGGAGCGGGGCGTCTGTAAAAGCATGCGACCCCAGGGGAGTGTCATCAGCCGTAAAAAGGACAGAGACCAAAAAGGACAGAGACCATCGCTCCAGCCATCGAACCAGAGAGCCTGAGGCCGAGGGAGAGGCCGGCACAGGCCACAGGTCGTAGGATTCCCGCCACGTGAAACGTCCAGGACAGGCACGTCCGCGGTGGCCGGGAGGGGGCAGTGGCCGCTGGGGCGCAGGGTTTCTTGGGGTGACGGGAACGTGTAGCATTAGACAGGTGGCCGCATCACACAGGGGAGATGCCCAAAGCTGCTGAGGCCGCGCTGTAACGTGTCCTGGGAGGACCCAGGGTCGGCTGTTACTATACCCTGTCCTGGTCCAGCACGTCCCACAGTCCCGGTTCTCTGGATCCTCCCCATGCTGTCCTGACCCCGCCTGAGGGCGCCTCTGTGGGAGCTGGGGTTCGGGGAGCCCCATTTGAGCATCCTGGCCTGCATGCAGCCCTGTCCTCACCAGAGTCCGCACGAGACCTAATTTACAGGCGAGGAAACTCGGTCTCGGGCCACACTCCCTGCGGATGGTGCTGCTGGGCCTGGGCCGGAGTCTGCCGGGTCAGGCCTGCCCTCTCGCGGCCTCACGCTGTCCCCATCCCCAGGGCTGTCCCAGGCCCCACAGGAGATGCTGTGATACAAACAAAGGAATAGATGCTGGCGTGGAGGACTTGGCGGCTCCCCCGGGGCAGCGGAGACCTGAATGGTGATCAGAGCTGCCTGGTGGCCCGCGAAGGTGGCGCTGTGGTCAGCACAGCGTCCGCGAGGCACCTCGTGCGTGGGGGCGGGGGAGCGTGCAGCCTTCCCACCTCTAACGCAGGGGAGCAGCCCCCCGGCAGAGCGGGGTGGGGTGGCCGTGCTGTGCGTGGCAGGTGCTGTGATGTGCCCGCTCCCCTTCCTCAGCCAGCGCCGCCGCGGAACAAACCTCCACCATGCTCTGCGGTTCTTCCTCCCGAACCCCTCGCCTCCGTCGTCCCCTGGAGCTCCCCATCCTGGGCACATGCAACTGTCCCCCTGCTCAGATGGCACCACTGAGCCTCAAGAAGGGGTGTGACAGCCCATGGCCGCGCAGCCACGGCCCTGGAGCCCAGGTCCAGCCCAGGACGGCCGCCTGGCCCAGGAACGGCGCAGGAGTCTGCCAGCAGGACTCACAGTCACACCTCCTGCAGGCCGGGGGCAGAGGGTGGCGGATATGAAGCTGACGTACATGTTGTAAATTGCCTGCCGACGTTTAGTGTCCGTTACCTTGGTAACCGCCCAGCATTTATGGACCACGTTGGCTCTGGGTACCCTTGGTTACACTGCCACTCTAACTGAATAGCATGGTTATTTCTCCATCATAAACATAACATAAATTATGCATATGTCCACACTCATCACACCATATACGTAAAATACATGCGTTTTTGCGTACCCATTTTACCTCAGTAGAGCTATTAAAATATGTATTCATTACAGAAAATCTAGGAGACAGAGAAGTAGGGAGAGAAGAGAATTAAAGAAAGAGAATTAAAAATATCTCAATCCAATCACCTAAGGCACCTCTGCTGACAGGATGGAAATCTCCGCCGGGCTGTCTCTGCCGGTGTGTGTGCTGTTGGCGTGGCTGTGACCACTGGTCTATATAATGAAGAACGTTTTATACACAACTTGACACCCCACTCTCTCCCCCTTAGGGGTGCTGATAGGAAGCAGCAAGAATCAGTGCCATGTCGGGGACCCAGTGCTGCTGGGCTGTGGTCCTGCGTGTGGCTCTCCGTGTCCCTGGGCGAGGCCGGCCTCCCCACAGTGGGGCGGGGGGGGGGAAGGAGGCAGTGCCAGCACCGGGGCCTGACCGCACCCCACTCCCACCTCAGTGCGCGCTTCCCAGGAGCTGCTCCCTGTGTTGTCTGTGTGAGCTGAGTGCAGGGCGCGTTCCTCTTGACCGATGCGTCCGTCCCGCCTCATCTGCTCCCGAACGCCTCTTCCTCCTGCTTTCTTTCCCGCCAAAGCGGGCGTTACCTGCGCCTCGGGGCCTCTGGTGGCCACTGGACAAGAGAAACGCTTTATTGACTAACAGCGGGGAAAGCCCTCCAGGCTGAGAGCAGCTGTGGAGACAAGAGGGAGCCCGCGTGGGAGTGGAGCTGTCAGGAGTGAGGGGTGGAGGGAGGCGAGGCTGGGAGAGGGCGTCCGTTACTCTTTACCGAGTTAAAAACAGGGCACTCCCCGGCATTCAGCACTGACTATTTGCAGCCACGCATCTGCTGATGCTGCTGATCGGGGCTTGTTGGGCTGGGGACCTGCCTGGGCGCTTGGCTGGGTCTCACACACTCGTCCCCTGTCCTCCTCCTCCTGCCCTCCCCCGCCCTCCGGCCAGGACCGATGGGCTCGGGCCATCTGGGCAGGTCCTTCTCCGGGCAGTGGCCCAGGCCCGGCTTGGTGGCCTGTCTGCTGGTGTCCCGCAGGCCCAAGCAAACCACAGGGACCAGCCCAGGGTCAGGGTGAGGGCAGCAATGCTGGGTTCCGGCGCAGGGGAGGCGGGAGGAGATTGGGCTCCTGATGTGGGCTGCCTCAGGGACCGCTTCAGGCTCCGAGACCTTTGCTTTCCTCTGACATGATGGGGGTCGTTGGAGGCTGTGGTGCGGGCTCCTCTCGCTGCCCTCCCTGCTGAGGCTAGCCCAGCCGGGCAGGGCGTGGCCGGGGGAGCCCTGGGAGGCAGCTGTAGGCCTGCACAGGGGACAGGCAGAGAAGGGGGCGGGAATTGGGCATGAAGACTGAGCCAGTGGGATGAGGCGGAGAGAGGACGGAGGTTGCGAGGGGGAGAGTCAGGCCCGGCCAGCAGAGGACGGAGCTGCCATCACCGAGAGGGGGGGCTGCGCAGAGGAGGGGGTTGAAGGGATGAGGATCAGGATTGGGTTTGGGGACCAGTGGAGGGTTTTGAGCAGAGACACGCCATGACTCAGGTGGCCCATCGCCCGGGACGCTGTGGGGGAACAGAGTGGAGGGTGGGACCCGGGAGGCGTGGTCTGATCTGCGGTTGTTGAAAGTAGATCCACGGTGCCTAGGAGTCCCCACCAGGAATGTGAGGGTCACAGGGGCCCATCCAGGGGAGCTCAGAGGGGGTGGGCAGGAAGAGGTATAGTTGGTCTCAGTGGCCCCCAGAATTGGGCTAGTGAGTGTCAGGTTTGCATCCCAGTCACCTGGCGGGTACAGGAGGGAACCCTCAAACTGCTTCTGGGAGGAGCAGGAGGCAGGAGGCAGGAGGCAGGAGGCAGGAGGCAGGAGGGAAGGAGACAGGAGGCAGGAAGGAGCCGGAGTGAACAGGTCTCTGCCCAGTGGCCAGCGGGGAGGAGGGGGCAGGTGTCTCCCCACCCCTCAGGCTGCTGCTGCCTGGTGGGGTCCCACTTGGGGGTGCAGGGCCTCTGGGTGGGGTGGAGGTGGGCCCAGTTGTGTTGAACAGCATGGGACTGGGTCCTAATGAGCCTCGTCTTCCTGTCTCTCCGCCCCCCCAGCCGATGTCATCTCCACTGTCGAGTTCAACCACACGGGAGAGCTGCTGGCCACAGGCGACAAGGGTGGCCGGGTTGTCATCTTCCAGCGGGAGCCAGAGGTGCGTGGGGTGGAGGGCAGGGCCTGGAGGGGGGGTGCGGGCCTGGGACAGGGGCGGGGTCTGGGGTGGGGGGCGGGGCCTGGAGCAGGGGGGGTGGGGCTGTCTCAGCAGGTGCCCCCACGGTCCACCAGGATGGTCCCTGGGGAGCTTGCCTGCCTCCCAGCAGGATCGCGGGGCTGGCTGGAAAGGGTGCGCGGGTGCAGGGCGGGACCGGGCAGCTCTGGGGCAGGGAGGGCCCCTGGTCCGCTCAGCAGATGTTTGCTGGTTGCTCACTGTGTCCTGAACCTGGAGACACGGGACCAGCAGAGCCAGGCTGCCCTGGCACAGTACGGGCGCTTCCCATCCTGGGCGGAGGGAGGCTGTGGGCTGGCCCTCGGGCGGGGGTGGCGGTTTTGTTTGTCTCAGGCCCCAGAGCCCCAGCCCCCTGGGTGGTCCAGCAGAATTCGGGTAAGACAGGCGGCCTGGAACACCCTGCCTGGGCGCTGTTTCTGAACCACTGGAAGAAAGGGGTGATAAAAGGCCCCATTAATTGAGCACCTGTTACGTGCTGACACCTTGCCACCTTCTCTACGCACTTCCCATGTACCCTTGCTGCTCACCTCAGCGGGTGGGGACCGACACCAGTTTACAGACAGGGTCTCTTGGGGAAGTCACGCCAGCTAGTGAGCACAAGCCAGGATTGAAACCAAGACTGTGGCCTGTCACCTAACAGCACCCTGCCTCTGAGGGCGGCGCCCGCATCAGACACCTGCTGCATTACATGCTGGATAAGGACGTGGGGGAGAAAAGGGGGGGGAGAGGGAAGGATGTGGGGGGAGAGGACCGCATTCAGTCCTTCAGCATCATCCAGACCTCACCTGTGTCCCCCGTCACCTCCCTGGGCCCCAGAGGGGGAGCCGTGCTATCACCCTCCCCACCTCACAGCCTCACAGCCGGGCTGGAGCTCGGGCTGGAAGCGGCTAAGCAAGGACGCCCCCGGGACACGGGCAGCCCAATCCGTTACCCGCCGGGCCTGCGGCAGGAGCGAGCCGACTCCGTGAGCAGGACGCGCGTGTCCCGGGGGGTGGCCAAGCCCAGCCTCCTTTCTGCCGAACTGAAGAAGGAGGTTCAACGGGGAGTGCCAGAGCCTCGGTTTTGAATTTTTCTCTTTTAATTGTTGTTAATCCCGGTCCCACTGGCCTTAGTCACACCCAGTGCTCCTGGGACACGGAGTGATTGGAGGCAGGAAGACTGAAGAACTTGAAAGCGTTCTAGAAGCAAGGCAGGTGTAGACATTTGGCAGTGGGTGCTTTTTAAACATTCCCTGGGAACGTGACATTGTGCCGGGTAAGTGCCTTGGATTTGCTGCCAGGCGGTGAGGCCTCCGGTTAGTGTCATGTTGTCCCATAAACTTGCTGTCTCCTGGGAAGTGGCCCCTGGTGCCCGGCGTGGGCTCACCAGCTCACTAGTTTGGGGCTCTGCTGCCCACGCCAGGATGGGACCCCCAGCGAGGGCAGCCGGGAAGCAATTCCCTACCTGAGTCTGACATGACGGGGCACTGCCCGGGGAGTCACTTCAGAGCATGCTCAGTCCCCACGTCCCGCCCCATGGACACGAGGGCGTGAGGAGCAGGCCACAGCCTCAGCCTCTGGGACAGACGGACCCCGCGGAGGGAGCTACACGTAGTGGACACGTGGCCTAGGCAGGTTCAGCCACCCCTGAGCCTCCACTTGCTGACCTGTAAAATGGGGAGTCATGGTACTCAGCATGGAGGGGCCTCGAGGACAGGAAATGAGGCGTGAGACGCACTTAGCTCAGTGTCCACACATAGAAGGTGCTCAGGAAACAGGCGCTAGCTTGTCCTACAGCCACACGGCAAGGAGATGAAAAAGCTGGGTTTCCGGTGACCCTTGGTGGGTCCAGGGGCAACGCTGGACGCCCGGTCGCCATTGCTGTCGGGCCTGCCGTGGGTTTAACCCCTGGGCCCGGCTCTTGCCTGTTCCCACGCCCCTGCCGTCCTAGCTCAGGCCCCATCGGGTTTCCTTGCAGAGTAAAAATGCGCCTCACAGCCAGGGCGAGTACGACGTCTACAGCACCTTCCAGAGCCACGAGCCGGAGTTCGACTATCTCAAGAGCCTGGAGATAGAGGAGAAAATCAACAAGATCAAATGGCTCCCTCAGCAGAACGCCGCCCACTCCCTGCTGTCCACCAACGGTGAGGGCGTGCCTGCGTGCCTGAGTGTGTGTGTGCCCGAGCATGTGTGTGTGCAGGCATGCGTGTGTGTGTGTCTGAGCATGTGTGTGTGCAGGCATGAGTGTGTGTGTCTGAGCATGTGTGTGTGCAGGCATGCGTGTGTGTGTCTGAGTGTGGGTGTGCCTGAGTGTGTGTGTGCCCGAGCATGTGTGTGTGCAGGCATGCATGTGTGTGTCTGAGCATGTGTGTGTGCAGGCATGAGTGTGTGTGTCTGAGCATGTGTGTGTGCAGGCATGTGTGTGTGTGTGTCTGAGCATGTGTGTGTGCAGGCATGCGTGTGTGTGTCTGAGCATGTGTGTGCAGGCATGCGTGTGTGTGAGCATGTGTGTGTGCAGGCATGCGTGTGTGTGTCTGAGCATGTGTGTGTGCAGGCATGTGTGTGTGTGTCTGAGCATGTGTGTGTGCAGGCATGCGTGTGTGTGTCTGAGCATGTGTGTGTGCAGGCATGAGTGTGTGTGTCTGAGCATGTGTGCCTGTGTGCCTGAGTGTGTGTGCAGGCGTGTGTGTGCCTGAGTGTGGGCATGCAGGTGTAGGCGTGTGATGTCACGGTTTGCATCAAATGCTATTTTCACTGCACTGACACGGTCGGTGAGCGTTTTCCTCCGTCTTTGGCTCCTAAAAACCACATCTGAGTAGGTGTAAATCCCACCCGGTGAACGTGCCCCTGTCCCCGCCTTCCCTGTTGGACACGGGCCATCCCATGGGGATGCGCAGCGCCATCAACATGGTCGTGATGGTCTCCCCTGGGGAGGGCTGACACTCCTGAGGGAGGAGGGCCAGGGAACACGGGACGCCCGAGGCAGACTTGGTCTCCATCTGCCCCTCAGACGCAGGCCACCCTGGGAAGAGTGATGGCGCCCCCCCCCCCCCCCACAAGGCCGGCCGCTCGAGGGGAAGGCCATAGCCGGGATCCCCTCTTCCTTGGGGACCTCCGTCTGTTTTCTCTTAGGGCCTTCATCTGATTGGACGAGGCCCACCCAGACTAGGGAGGGTGATCGGCTGTACTCTGTGGGTTAAATGTTACTCTCATCTCAGGACACCTTCACAGCCACACTCACACACGTCTGAGCAAAGAGCTGGTGCCTGCGGCTTAGCCCAGTCGACACATAAAATAGGCTCACAGCTGCCAAGTTATTCTTTCGATGTTGTTGGCGGATGGCAGGGAAGTGAGGCTCCTGGAGAGAGGGTGCTGGTTCGGGGAGGGGTTGCTGCTCGGAAATACAGGGCCTCCCCTGGGCGGGGGCCTCCCCTGGGCGGGGGGCCTCAGGGAGGGGCTTGGAGACGCGGGAGCTGCGTCAGGGCCGGCTCTCTGGGGGTCGGTGACAGACTGATCACTCCCCTGAACGGGCCGTGCCCTTTGACCCAGCAATGTCACCGTGGGGACCGTGGTGAGGAGCGAGAGAAGGAAGGCAGGTGTCCCAGCGTGGAGCTGTTCGCTGGGGCCGTTTACCGGGGAGGAAATTGGAACGAACCACCGCTCCCAGCACAGGGTGGCGGCCGAGCGAGCTCCGGGCGCTGCGTCCATATCCGGTGGACAAGGGCGGATGGATGGCCCATTCTCCGTGTTAATCGTGGGTCTTGTTTCACTTTTTTCTGTTTTTAAAGACAAAACCATCAAATTATGGAAGATTACCGAGCGAGATAAGAGGCCCGAGGGCTATAACCTGAAAGACGAGGAAGGGAAACTCAAGGACCTGTCCACCGTGACGTCACTGCAGGTAAGCGGCCGGCTAGGGAGACTGCGGGCCCATGGTTCCTTTATTAGCGGACGAGGATCGCAGGGCTCGAGGCCCTGGAGAGTTGAGCCACAGTCAGTGCGGACCCTGGCTGCGGTCATCTGCCGGCTCCGTGCCTCCATGTCCCCACCTCCAGTGGAGATGGCCTTCTCCTGGAGGCCTCCTGAGGACAAGGCACCCCACGCCCATAAAGAGCCTTTCAGCTGCAACTGAGGGTGCAGAGCAAGTCTGCAACCCCTTGTCACACAAAGAGGGAAACGGGCCCAGAGAGGGGCAGGAACTCACCCGAAGCCGCCCAGCTAGTGAGTGGCAGAGCCAGCGGAGAACCCGTGGCTGAGCTGAGTGGACTCCGAGCCCTTTGCCGAGGGGCCGAGCGGGGCCTGGGGCTGCGACTCTTGCAGCTTCTACGAAGTCTCAGCCTCCAAGATTGCCTTTGATTGACAAAGAGCCCGCGGTTAAGCCACGGAGCCGTGCTAAAGCCAGCCCAGCCCTCAACATGATTCAAAGGCCAAAGGACTCCTGTCTCTCGCAGCTGCGGGACCAGAAGAAAGGGTTCCCTGGAGTCACGGGCTGGGGTTCAAATCCTGCCTCTGCCGCCTCCTGGCGGTGTGACGGGGTGGGGCTCCAGGCTCCACAGCCTCGGTTCTTCATCGGGAACAGGGGTGAGCACTGTGGCAGGTGTGTCTTCAAGCACTCTGGCTGGCACAGCTCGTTGAACCCTCACCCAAATCCTGTCACGTGGCATTATCACCCCCATTTCACAGACGAGGGAACCGAGAGCTGGGATCCAAACCCAGGGCAGGCTGGCCCAGAATCGGCGTCCGTCTGCTCTGACGTGGCCAGGAGGCCCCTGCCTCACGGGAGAGCTGCAGGACGGTCAGTGGCGTCCCAGGGAGGACTGTGGAGAAGCCGGCCCCTTCCCCGTGCAGCAGGCCGGGAAGCACACGGTGCTGCCTCCTCTGTCCCTGGCTTCCAGACACCGGGAGCATAGTGGGTGCTGCGGACGTGCTTGCTGAAGGAGGTGCTGACCCGGATTCACCATTCAGCACACACGCTTATTGAGCACCTAGTGTGTGCCAGGCCCATCTCTAGGCACTGGGAGGCTGCAGTGAACACAGAGCCCGCGGCAGGATGAGGCCCAAGTCTTCTTGGTGTCCCAGTGCCTGGGACAGGCCTGCCTCAGAGGAGGTGGCCACAGAGGGTCATGAAGGAGCGGGGACTAGTGTTGGGAAGTGACTGCTCTCTTCAGCTCCAGTTTGCACATCCTAGCAGACTTTTAAAAAATATTTTTTTATTGATTTCAGAGAGGAAGGGAGAGGGAGAGAGAAACATTAATAAGAATCACTGATCGGTTGCCTCCTGCAAGTCCCCTACAGGGGATCAAGCCCGCAACCCGGGCATGTGCCCTAACGGAATTGAACTGTGACCTCCTGGTTCATAGGTCAATGCCCAACCACTGAGCCACACCGGCCGGGCCGTTCTAGCAGAATTGGAAAGGCTCGTTCCTGTCACATGAAATGCCGTCTCCCTCAGTTCGTTTCTCAGCTGCGAGTGTGGGCTGCTCTGAGCTGCCTGGGCTGGGTGGGGTGAGCGCCTGTCCCCGGCTCGCAGACAAACTGCTCCCCGCTCTCTGCACTGCCGGGTGGCTGTGGGCATCCCCCTCCCCGCCCCCCCCCCCCCCCCGCACCCTGCCACCGCTCCCTGCCTCAGTTTCCTCACTGGCAAAATGGAGATGATGCCCCGCTTCTTCTGAAATGACTGCCCGGCGCACGCACGGAGCACCCGCGAGTTGTCATAAATACGAAGTGAGATCAGTGCTGTTCCCCAGAAGGAGAAATAAACGTTTAAACACGGTGGCCTCTAAATGACCGGCGAATCGCACAAATAAATCTGAGAAGGCAGGGAAGCCAATTATCTGGGTTGTCGAGTAAAGGGAGTGATGGTGTCCCGCCCCCACCGCCAGCCCCAGGCAAGTCTAGGAGGGTTTCCTCTGGTGGGAAAGATGCAATTATCACCTCTTGATGGCCTGGCATCTGCGGCAGAGCCATGGCCCACGGGAATCTCGTTTATTTCCCTCCCAGCATCGGAGATGTTCTTGTACGTCCCACACATCCCGGAGACGGCACTTACCATAAACAGGCTGCGGGAGAAAGGGGGAGGCACGCGGGTCTTTCCTCCCGCCTAGCACTGCCCGAGGACTCGCTGTATTAGCTCTGAGTAGGCACCAGCCTCACCCCCTTTACGGAAAAGGGAACTGAGGCCTGAGATGTTACCCAGTGAAGGTAACACTAGTGAGTGGCAGGGCAGGTTGTGAAGCTGCAGGCAGCTCAGTCTGCACCTTTGCACCAGGAACCCTCAGGGGCAGTCACCCCAGCTTCCTGGCCCGACTCGCATTTCCTGACCCCGTGACTTGGGCAAGTTGGGTTCACCTTGGCATTCAGTCCTCTCACCAGTGATGTGGGGGATGGCAATGGCAGCCCCATTTCCTGGGCATCAAGCCCAGGCCAGGCCATTGTGTCTGTCTGTCCTCGCACCTTTGAAATTTCAGTTTCCTGGAGTGACACACAGCAGTGTATGCTGAGCCTGACAGAGATGTGGGCCGTGTGCTGGGTGTGTGCCAGCCCTACCTACCAGGGCAGCTGCCCTTCTGGGGGGCTGTTGCCTCCAGATCCTGCAGGAGGAGTTGGGGTTCACTAGCTGTCCCGGGGGGGGGGGGCGGTGTTCCAGGCAGAGAGCACGAAGGGAAGCAGAAGCGTGCATCTGATACTGTCTCAGGGATCCTCACACATCCGAGGTGGGAGTTTGTATGAGTGAGGTGAACACTGATGGCTCTAACAGATGACCCGCATTGCAGGGCAGAGCACGCAGAAATGTAATTCTCGCCCTGGCCGGTTTGGCTCAGCGGATAGAGTGTTGGCCTATGGACTGAAGAGTACCGGGTTTGATTCTGGTCAAGGGCACATGCCTGGGTTGTGGGCTCGATCCCCAGTGTGGGGCGTGCAGGAGGCAGCCGATCAGTGATTCTCTCTCATCATTGATGTTTCTATTGCTCTCGCCCTCTCTCTTCCTCTCTGAAATCAATTTAAAAAATTTGTTTTAAATGTAATTCTCACTGCTAGCAAGGTGCTCCTGCAGGGACACAGCCTCCTGCCATTCCATGTGCCTCCATCCCTAAAGGTTGGGTCTTCACCTTCCTTCAGTGGAAGGAGAAAGAGGATAGAAAAGGCACACCTGCCTCTTAACCACCTTGGCCCTTAGTGCCAGGCATCACTGTACTCACAGTCCATTGGTCAGAACCAGTCATGTGGCCACACCCAGATGCAAAGGTAGCTGGGAAGTGTAGTCCTTCCCTGGGCAGCCACTTGTCACTTCCTGGTAGAAGGGATGCAAATGTTTGGTGGGCAGTCAGCTGACTCTGCCATGGTACCTTCTCATTCCATTTGAGAGATGAGGAAATTGGGGTGTGAAGGGGTTCAGTCACTTATTCAGAGTCACATGGTGGGCTCAGAACCAACCCGGGGAGGCCAAGCGAAGGAGGTGGGCTTTCCCGCCGGGCTGGTGGCGATGGTCATTGGCCACGTGCACTGCTTATTTCTGACACGTGCGGATGGCTGCCCATGGGTGCACGCCCCGCTGTGGCTGCCTGGCCCAGGCGTCCTGCCCCCGGCAAGTGGCCCTGCTCTGACCTGCCCTCCTCCTCGTAGGTGCCCGTGCTGAAGCCCATGGACCTGATGGTGGAGGTGAGCCCACGGAGGGTCTTTGCCAATGGCCACACCTACCACATCAACTCCATCTCCGTCAACAGCGACTGCGAGACGTACATGTCGGCCGACGACCTGCGCATCAACCTCTGGCACCTGGCCATCACCGACCGGAGCTTCAGTATCCTTTCCCGCCGCAGTCTCCCGCGGTGGCTCCTGGGTGGGCTGGCTGGCTGGCTTGTAAGCGGGCTGGCTTGGGGGCTTCTGCTTCGTTCAGCTTCGGTGAGTCCACAGGGTGTGAATGACGCACAGACGTGAGCCCATGCTGAGAATGTATGAACGCTTTAAAACCACGGCTGTGAGGGTTACATTTGACCCCTCGCCGCCTCCTCGCCAGGGTGGCTGTGATCCCCGTCACCCTGGGACCTCACCAGGGATGAAGGAGGAGATAAGGTCCTGGGGTCACCCCTCCCAGAGGAGGGACAGCTGATCCTCCTGAGACCATCCACCAAAGGCTCCTCTGGACCCTCCCCGCTGGGGTCCCACCCAGGGCTTAGAGTGTCAAAAGCCCAGCCGGACGGAGTCGGGGGCCCTGCTTGTGGCTCCCTGCATCTGGACAAGCTAGGGGCAAGAGGATTGAGCCCAGCGCCCACCAGCTGGCGAGGAATGAACTGTCCATACACGAGCATGGGCCTGGGGAAGGGCTGCAGCGGAGAGAGCAGGCTGGTTGCTAAGCTGTCCCTGCTCTGAAGACTGATATAATAACAGTAATTACAGCGAGGCTCTCGTGTAGCATTAACGCTTGTTAATATTAACTCATTCCACCCCCACAACAGCCCCGTGAGGTAGGTACGGCCACGATCCTCCTTTACAGATGAGGAAACTGAGGCACCGGGAGCCCAAGTGAACGTGCTCAGAGCCCACTCCTAGCATTGGTCGCACCTCCAGCCGCCGAGTCTCCTTTCCAACTCGGACACCAGGCTGCTCTGTGAAGGATGGGGCCCAGATGGCGTGCAGGAGGCCCTGCTCCTGCTGCCCCTCTGCAGCAGGCGGACATACACCGTCGATGCAATAAGCAAGGGGAGCATCCGGCAGGCGGGCAGCGAGCAGGCGGGCGGTGCTGTGGGAGCGAGTGGGCCAGGGAGCACATGGGCGCGTTTTTCTCCGGCCACGATTCGCCGGGCTGCAGGCGCAGGGTGGGTGGAGAGAGCCAGGGCAGCGGTTTTGCCAAGTGCACAGGCAGACATGGGGCTGCTGGTGGAAATAATCACTGACCCCAGGACCTTAGTCAGCTGAGGAGGCGAGGGCTGGTGACAGGAAGGGAGCGTCTGGGGATCGGCGTCCCCGTGGGACCTGGGGGGCTTCCCTGGCTGCAGATCCTGCCTGTGTGCAGCCTGATTTGTGAAACTGAATTGTTAGTTGATCAGATGTAGAAGCGCCCAGGCCTTGGGGGTGGAGGAGCGCGTGTGGCATCGCCTGCCGGCTGCAGAGCGGGGCTCCGGCAGCCTCCCTGTAGACCTAGGTGCCAGCTCGGCAGACGGAGGAGCGATGGAGTCTCCAGCCCGCGGTGGCTGTGCAGACCTCCCCTGACCGACCGGTTCATCGGGGAATCAGGCTGCGTGTGGCCCCCCGTGCGGGGGCCGCCAGTGAGAACACGGGGAGACCGGGCACTGTCCATGGAGCCGCCTCCGCTGGCCGGGGGGTGTCAGGTGGGGCGATGGGTCCGATAGCAGCCGAGCGATGAGAAAGGTGTTTCCTTTCCAGTGGTTGCGGCGGGGGGGGGGGGGGGGGGGCGTCCAGAAAGCTGTGACTGGCTGAGCTGGGCACCTGCTCTGCATTTGAGACACTCTTTGAGCATGTACCCCCCGGGGGACCTGGGCCTGGGGCCTCCGTCCCTCTAACTCCGGTCCTGCGGCGTCTCGCCTTGTCCCGAGGCTGCTGATCAGTCCTCAAGGCCACTGGGAGTTTTCTGCTGCGTTACCGTCTCCTGTGTCCAAACAGGAACACTTCCCACTTATGCAGAATTAATTTCTAGCAAAGGTTCCCAGAGAGAGGAGCGCTTTTCCAATCAGGGAGAAGAGCGGGCACGTTCGGGCCATTGGAGGAGAAGAGCTGACTCAGAGACCTTTCTCTGGCGAATTCCAGAGCCGGCTGCTCTGATCGGAGGGAGGGGCCCTGAGCCTCTGCCGTGTCCCCGGCACACGCAGGTGCCTGCCGTAATCTGCCACCAAGGCTGACCGTTAGGGGTCCCCCAGCTTCCCTCTCCCTCGCCCACAGAATGGAAAGGATGCAGGCCCTTCCATCCTCCCCCGATGGCTCTGGAACCGTGTGCTGCTCTCCATCCGTCAGAGGCTCAGCTCGGGCCACCCTAGCCCTGCCTGGCCGTGGCCTGCATCCCGCCTTGCCCAGCCAGCCAGCCAGCCCACCGCAGTGAGAATGGCTGACCACGTCAGCCCCCTGCCTAAAGCTCTCAGCCGCTTCCCATCGGCTTCTGGACAAAGTCCAAACCACTCAGCAGTGTCCTATGGTGCTTGGTGACTGGCCCTGCCCACCTCCCCCGGTCCTGGGCACCAGGCTGGCCCACACCTTCAGGCCACTGGGCTTCCCTTCCTGTCACAGGGCTGAGCCAGTGCTCTGCCTTCTGCTGGCCCTTCGCTGACCAGCCTTCTCCCTCTCGTAGCCGGGCTGGCTCCTGTTTGCCCCCTTTGCTCGGTCACCTGTGCCGTGTTCACTCTGCACCCCTCCCAGCTGGTCGGAGCCCCTCTGGGCCCCCCCTCCCTGTCACACTGGGCTTCCCTCACCTGTTAATATGCCCCCGCCCCCATTTCCAGTGGCACCCTGGGGGTTAGGAGCCCAGTCAGCGCCTCTCTGTATCCCCACATGTAATGCAGGGTCCGCACATAGTAGGTACTTGTGAATGGTTCTGAATGGAGTGAGGAGGCTCACAGTGTCCAACTGGTCCTGGGATGGAGACTCCCCCCTGTGAGTCTGGCTCCAGGGTGCTCAGGTCCCAGACACTACAGAGGAGCAGCCGGGGTGCTGGGATCTGGACCCCTGGGCTCGGTTCACTGCTTAACGTCCTGGGCCGTCTGTTCACACGAATGTAAACTGGGCCAAATTCCTTAACGTGAGGACGTTTGTAAGGAATAAAGGAGTCAGTCACTAGTTGGGCCCCAGCCAGTAGCTGGCAGCATCTTCCCTCTTCAACAACAGCCCCCTGGGGTGGTTACGGCTCGTTCCCTGAATTCCTGCGGGTTCTCTGATTGTGTGTTTCACCCCAATGCCGTCTCCACATCTCTAAACCATCGCTCGCATCCTTCAGTACCAACATTCTGAGACCGCTGGGTGATTTTTCTCGAGTGCGATGCGTCTTAAAGGTAACAGGTTGCACAGGCGGCCTCAGCCGAGGAATCTTTGCTTTAAGTTTAGCACCGGAGGATTGCAAAGATGGCTCCATTGATTCCCCCCCCCCTCCCCGAGTGATTTCTCCTGGCGGAAGCTGGCATTGCACCAGCCCTCAGTCTGGAACAATGTCTAATTCCTGTTTCCTGAGCAGATCCCGAAGCGAGGCTGGGTGGTGGACCAGCAGTCAGGGTAGAGGCCCCAAGGCTCCGCACAGCCTGAGGGAACAATGCAGGGAACAATGGAGGGGACCCGCCAAGGCTCTCTGCTGGCGAAGCACCGAGAGCCCCGGCCCAACCGCTGCAGTCACTCAGCCTCGCTGTTCCCATCCAGTCAGTGGGCTATGCCTCTGGGGCCGGGGCTGGGCTGGTGGAGCCGGCGAGTACAGGGCCTGATGTGCCGTAGACCCACGACCCACTCCTCCATGACCACGGTCGCCTCTCACAGGTGCCTCTTTTCATGCTCCCGCAGTGCCTCTGTACAGAGGAGGAAACGGGGGAGCGTCTGCTCAGAAATGCCCCAAGTCCCCAAGTCCGAATCCCCAACATCAGTTTTCCGCTCGGAAAACCTGTTGTTAAACCGTGACAGCCCATCACTGCTGCTTTGAGGCCTCCCCAAGGCCAGGCGGGTCAGCCTCCTCCACTCTGAGTGTGCCGGCTTGCGCTGTCCACGGTGCTGACCCACTCCCAGCATGCTGCCCAGGGCGCTGACTCCCTGTGCGCTGTCCACGGTGCTGACCCACTCCCAGCATGCTGCCCAGGGCGCTGACTCCCTGTGCGCTGTCCACGGTGCTGACCCACTCCCAGCATGCTGCCCAGGGCGCTGACTCCCTGTGCGCTGTCCACGGTGCTGACCCAACTCCCAGCATGCTGCCCAGGGCGCTGACTCCCTGTGCGCTGTCCACGGTGCTGACCCAACTCCCAGCAGCAAGCTGCCCAGGGCGCTGATTCACTCCCTGTGCGCTGTCCACGGTGCTGACTCCTCCGGCAGCCAGTCCTGCAGTCGCCCTCACCACCTCCCACACACCGGCCTTGCTCTGTGCCACTTACTCTGTGCCAGACGGCGTTCTAAGCACCTGGAACATGTTAACCTACTTAATCCTCTCGGCGACACTGTGGAGCAGATATTATGAACACGCCCCCCTTTTTTGTTTGGTTTGTTTTTGTTAATCCTCACCTGAGGATATTTTTCCATTTCAGAGAAAGTGGAAGGGAGAGGGGGAGAGAGAGAGACAGAGAGACAGAGAGAAACACTGATGTGAGAGAGACACATTGATTGGTTGCCTCCCACATGTGCTCTGACTGGGCCCTGGGGGTTGAGCCCACAGTCGAGGTATGTGCCCTTGACAGGAATCAAACCAAGGACCCTTCAGTCTGCAGGCTGATGCTCTATCCACTGAGCCAAATGAGCCAGGGCAATGTGCCCCCCGTTACAGGAGGAAACTAAGCCACAGAAAGGTTAGGTGATTGACCCAGAGTCACCCAGATGGGCAGTGGCAGGGCCTGGGAGTCAGACTCCGGGCCTCTCATGTAGATGGTCCTTTCAACTCTGAGTAGTGGGTGCACTGCCTGTGGCCTTTCCTCGCCCCGGCCACTCAGACTGCCCATCAGCCCCCGTGATGGGATAATGTCTCCTGGCTCTTGTTTTGAATTCTAAGGGAAAGCGGGTGCTTTCCACACCCCTGCAGGCCACACTGGGACTGTTTGTAACACAGGTGGCCGCTGTCTGTTTCGAACGCTTCCTCTAATGGTGGGGACGTGCCACTCCGTGGTGCTTCTG